ATTAGTCAATGAAATTACTGAAATTAATTTAAAAACTGAATGAATATAGATTTACACACATTTGCTCAAGTAAATAAACAGAATAAACGATGGGCTAAAAATCTGTGGAAATCTGCGGAATTCTGCGTGCGCAGATTCCGTGTAGCTCTATGTTTTTTGGACTTGTGGGGGAAACCGAAGCACAAGGAAGAAACCCATGCCAACATGGGGAGAACATGCAAACTCCACACAGAAATGACAACTGACCCAGCCGAGGCTCAAACCAGCGACCTTTTTTGCTGTGAGTTGATCGTGCTACCCACTTCGCCACCGTGATGCCCTAAATAATAAATAAATAAATAAATAAAGCGCAGCATGCAGATTGTTCGTCCCAGGCGTGTGTTATGGGTGTCAGCTGTGCATCAAAGTGATTAATTATGCAATTATGCAGAAGTGAGTTCCAAAGACAAGCTTATTTGGTCCCCTACACCCTTCATCCCTTCGAAGCGGTCACTCCGGAGGGTAAACCATTCGAACGGTTCTCTTCTGAATAGAACGCAGTGTAGGTCTGCTAAATTTGCGCACTAATCCAGAACTCCACACCCCTCCGGTGATAATGGTACGGCCCGATTGCGAGCGCAGAAAAGAAAAATGGAAAATCACAATAATGTGTCATTATTTAAAGTTTGCTCTGACATCAGATTTAAATGCAACAACCTCAACTTGTAGAATCGAAAATTAAACCGAGTGACAATTATCCATTGTTGAAGAAAATGTTTGAGATGCATTTTTCATTTGTTTGATTTTGACGGTGTGAATTAAACAAAGCACTGCAAAGTGTTACACGGGCCCAAGATATTTATATTCATCATTGGTTGATTTTGGCTTCATATTTTAAGAACTTAACTCCCCTGCTACCTAAATTTCTTTAGCATTTACTTTTTGTTATTTATTTATAAATGTTGTATTATTAACGAGAATGGAAAGATTGTGAATGTATGCAATTGGATTGTTATCTCAGTCTTTTGTGTAATTCTAAAAAGTATTAATGCCTTTCTGTTACTGTTCATTCATTCATTCATTTTCTTGTCGGCTTAGTCCCTTTAATAATCTGGGGTCGACACGGTGGAATGAACCGCCAACTTATCCAGCAAGTTTTTACGCAGCGGATGCCCTTTCAGCCGCAACCCATCTCTGGGAAATCTGTTACTGTTCAAGCATTAAAAATATTTGGGGCCATTCTATGTAATTGGCCCCACCTATGGGTTAAACCATTCTACAGGTTGTAGGGTAACATGTAGAAAAAAAAATTAAACATAAAAAGACATTAAACAAAAGTATAAATTAATATAAGTATATTAATATGCATACAAAACTCAAAATACAACACATCAAATAACCAATACAGATATAAACAACAAAACAGTGATTTTTATTCACTGACCAGGGGGTCGTGACGCTGATGATGTCATCCAAAATGGCTGCTTAGAAGTGAAGGCGGGAAAAGACTGTATAAACGTCTTTGTTTGAAATGTAAACTGGTTTGGTGCTGAGGAAATGGAAACTGGTAAGTGTATGTGATCTTTCTATGTCTGGTAAATAAATAATGTTTAAAAGAAAATGTGTCAGTGTGAATGAGAAGATGATATGGGCTATTGTTTGACATGAAATGGAGATTTTTACATAAACGCAATGCTAACTTTGACAGTAAATTAATCTATACACATTACACAAACACACACATGCACAATACAGATAACACAACAAAGATCCATGTTTATAAGTATGTATTTTATTTATGAGTGCAATGTGATGTGTGTTTGTCTCCTTGTTCCTTGATTTTGTTAGTGTCACAGTGAAGAACCAAAGACACTGTGAGACTAACAAAATCAAGGAACAAGGAGTGGGTGGTCAATCTAAACTATAGATTCTTGGTAATTAAAGACTGCAATATTAAGAGACATTGGCCAACAAGTGAGCAGTGCTTGGTGGTTATCATACAGCGATGTAAAACTAAAAAGAGGAAAAAAGCGCATGAAACACTGGTTGCAATCTTGGTTAAGCCGAAGGGAAGTTACAATGCCACAAATGCCATATAAGCAGAACTTTGTTCTGTGGTTTGAGCAAGTTATGGCAGATTAATCATCCATTTCACGATGCAACCTACTGCAAGGTACTGCAAACTGCAAGTCTACTGACACTTTCTTTTGACATTTTCTTTTTACAAGCCATCAGACTTCACTGACAAATGTTTACGCGTACAGTATTTATATCTGCTACAATATTTGCACAGCATCCCTGGTGTACTGGTCGGCATTAAGCCTGGTTTATACTTCTGCGTCAAGTGACCGCCGTGACCCACGGTGCATGCAACGCGCGTAGCTGTGCATTTTTTATTTTTATTTTTTAAATTAGAATATGCAAAAATCATACAAATACAAGAAAACATCAACAAATAACAAATACAAAGCAACGAAACAAAAACAAAACAAAAACAACAACAATATAGTCAAGTACTGGTATGTGCGTGAGTGTGTGCGTATGACTGTGTGTATGCATGTAAAGGTAACTTGGTGGACAGGTCAGAGTACATACATAAGGAACAATAACAGTCAATAAATGAAGCAAGTGTCACAGATATAGATAAAACATATAGAAAGAAACCAGTCAGAGGTAGGGAGTAACAACAATGCTTATTAATGTATGATAGTAAATATGAGAGTAAAAAGAGAGAAAGGACAACAGTAATAACTGACAACAATAATAATAAATCACAAGTGCTACACCAACTACTACTACAGAAAGTTACTTATATTACAACTACTACTGCTTCTACTACAGCTACAACCACGACTACTACTACTAAAGTGTCTACTAATACTGATACTACTACAACGACTACCACTACTGATACTACTATAGTGTTTGCTAAAACTAATACAACAACATCTACTGCGATGACTACTACTACTACTACAATCACTTCTACTACATCTACATCAACAACATCTACTACTGATATTATTACACCAACAACGACTACTACTACTACTGTAACAACCACACCATTACTACTTCTGCTACTACTATACCAATGACATCTACTACTACATGAACTACTACTTCTATAATCTCCGTAACAATTACTCAATAACAATCGATACTATTACAATGACTACTACTTCAACTACTACTACTACTACTACTCCTACTACAACTACTACCGCTACAACTACAACTGCAACCTTAATAATGTTAATGGTATAAATACTTGTAATAATGATAATGAAAAGATAACAGGACAAGTCAGAACAGTAATAATAATAATAATAATAATAGCAAAAAATAAAAGTAATACCATGCTGTGCATTTATACTTCTGCGCGCTGTCTCTGTTGCTCTGCATTAACACTTCCAAAACGCTAGTGGGCAGTGAGCAGTGGCATAGCGGATAGGTCCGCAGGGCACGCATCGTGGGGGGGCCCTGCGTGATTAGGGGGCCCCGCGTCGTTGCGATTTTCAATAATTGAAAATCCAGCAACCGCAATAATCAAACTCTTGGGAACAACTGTGATCGGAACCAAAGTTTACTGGTCTGTGTTCTCTGAACACCTCAAGCGACGGACTACTTCATTATCAAATATACCATAAAGTTGACTTGATTTCAACTCTCCTCGATGCTCACACCGGAGAAGACGCGCCGCTCTGTTTCTCGCCGCCGGTTCTTATTGAAAATGAATGACTTCCAGCTACTTTGATGCTCTCGCTGCTTTGTGATTGCTCCTCAGTTTGTGAAGGCTTTCCTGCGTTGTCGCTCCACCCCGCCCCCCTTTCCCGCTCTTTAGTTTGTGATTGCTCCTCAGTTTGTGAAGGCTTCCCAGAGTTGTCGCTCCACCCCACCTCCCTTCAACGCTCCTCAATTTGTGATCGCTTCTCCGCGTTGCCCCCCCCCCCCCATCATCAGGGGGCCCTGTCGGTGATTCCTGCAGGGGGGCCTCCGCATTTTGTGCTACGCCACTGGCAGTGAGGTGTTAATGTGTCTCTGTGTCAAGTTTCTTCGCTGGTGTTTTGTTTTTTTCTAAACGCTTTCTGAATGTACAAGTGGCTCAAACTCGCTCATTTTGAGGCAGGAACCAGCAGACGTGCAATCACCACAGTGAAAAACAGCAGCGCATGTGTGTAGGAACAGCTGATGGTGACTACAGCAACGACAAACAGCAGAGAATCGCAAGCTCAAATGCATTTTAAATAAATCAGTAAAGATAGTGGCATGTATCACGTTTTCAAAGTGGTTTTAGACGCGATATGTGAATATAAAGAATTAACCAGATGCAGTACAAGACAAGCAAAGAGATTTCAAGTAACAAAACACAATTAAATACATCCATGCTGAAAAAACAGCTTAAACCAGCCTATACTGGTTAGCTGGTTGACCAGCCTGGTTTTATAGGGACTTCGGCCATTTCCAGTCTGGTCTTAGCTGGTCAGGACAACCAGCATAATGCAGATATTCAGCATTTTTGATGACAAATATTTTCTGCAGCGTCCTCAATTCACCATAGTTTCTCCCGCTTATCCACTTTTGAATTCAGTAACTTTTTTGCAAGTCATACATGTAGCTTTTTCCCTGTTTGTACTGTAGGTCAACACAGATTTTTGATTTCTACCTAAAATGCTGACTGACTTTTTTTTAAATAATAGTATTAAATTAAATTATAAATTGTGACTATTTAATTATTTAAATGCAAAAAAACAGTTCATTAATATTTCAATTTTGAATGATTGTAAAAGTTGAGCAGATCTCCGCTATCATCCGCTTTTGTTAAGAATGTTTCTGTATTAAGTTAAACAGAGCAGAAATACACACTCGGTTACTCTCGAGATTTGACCTGAAACAATGATAGCCTCAGATTAAAAGAGTTTTTTTTTATTCAAGCCTATAACAGAACTGAAGAAAAAAAGTATAACAAGCTACAATTAAAATAAAAGAATGAAAGAATTTTAAAGATTATATAAGCTGAATAATGTTATAAATAAAAATAAAAAAGTTGGCGTTCATTAATCAGGACTGCAGACTTTCACTCCTCTGTGGCAGCATGCTGATCGACTTCATTATCTTGAGCTGGGAAACACAAAATATAGAATAAATGACATTTTAATTACTGATACTGAGAGAGAGAGAGAGAGAGAGAGAGAGAGAGAGAGAGAGAGAGATCTCACCATGAGCTCTGCAGTATTTGACTCCCAGTATGATGGTCACCAGCAGATATGGAGAAGCTGCCACTAGAAAACTGACCAGTTTAAGAGCTGAGAGAACCGACAATGAAGACTCTGAACCTGAAACACGGACAGTAACACAACACATGAAGAGATAAAAAAAATTATATATGCCAAATATGAGGGTGAACAGTGTAGCTTTGAAATTAAACTATTATACTGTTGATAAACCATGGAGAAAGCTCCTGATGTTCAGTGTTGATCACTCACCCATAATATCAGACACAGTCAGAGTCACTTCATTACTCCATTTAGAAGAGCCTGATGATTGTCTCCAGCCAGAACACCTGCACATCTGTGTGGACTCTACAGTGATATTGAACTCTTTCTCCTCAGACTTGTACTCTTTATCTCCACAGTGGAATCTGTATTTCCAGTCTTCTCCCTGTATGTCACATGTGAGAGTGACAGTGTCTCCTCTGAGTATCTCTGATGGTTCAGACTGAACAGTCAGAACAGCTTTATATGACTCTGTATAAACTGAACAAACAGAAGAGATGATAAAACACACAAAGGAATAGCTCAACATCTTATAAACCCTGCATAAATGTCACTGCACAAATTTGTATTTTGAATTCTAAAATGTTTGAATCACTGGACCCCATTGACCTTCAGTGAGGGGAAAAACAGTTTTCTTTTTTGCACAAGTCATAAGTTTTGAATGAGATGAGAATACTTGAGTTTTTAGAATTTGATTAGTTGGGGAAAGGTTTAAAAACATTTACATTTAGTCATTTAGCAGACGCTTTTATCCAAAGTGACTTACAAATGAGGACAAGGAAGCAATTTTCACAACTATAAGAGCAACGATGAATAAGTGCTATAGGCAAGTTTCAGGTCTGTAAGTCGAAGATGGAAAGTATTACTAATTTTTTTTTTGGGTACAGTTAGTGGTATATCCAGAGAGGCAATTGCAGATTAGGAAGTGAAGTGGAGACTACATAGTTGAGTTTTTAGTCGTTTCTTGAAAATAGCGAGTGACTCTGCTGTTCTGATGCAGTTAGGGAGTTCATTCCACCAACTGGGCAGATTGAACGCGAGCGTTCGCGAAAGTTATTTCTTCCCTCTTTGGGATGGAACCACGAGGCGACGTTCATTCACAGAACGCAAGTTTCTGGAGGGCACATAGATCTGCAGAAGTGAGAGCAGATAAGAACGAGCAAGGCCAGAAGTCGCTTTGTAGGCAAACATCAGAGCTTTGAATTTGATGCTTTCACTATCCTGAATCACTGAATTTGTTTAAAACATTAACATTAATAAAAATTCCTAAAGATAATGTGATTCAAAAAAGCCATTGTAGTAAATTCCTATTTATAGCAAAGCATGAGAGTGCATACAACCTCTGCAGGTTTCATTACTAGCACAGTCTGACAAAAGACATGTACAGCACAAAGATATATCCTGTAGTTCATTAAAAAAAAAAAAAAATCAACATTCTGCCATCGTTTACTCACTCTTAACTTGTTTTAAACCGGTTTGAGTTTTTTATTCTGTTAAACACGAAAGATGAAATTTTGTAGAATGTTGAAAATTTGTAAATTAGGTAGTTTATGTTGTCTCTTTAGACACAGAAAAGGACAGGTAACTCCTAATCATCTATTCACTTGACTACTCGTAAATGAATGGCACATAACATTTATTGTATGCAAACATTTTTCAGGATTGATGTAAATGTTAATACCATACATATAAACTATTTGAGTAATTTGTTTTAAATGACTCTGGAATTTGTGCTCATTTATTTGTTTGTTTAAATTTGTATGTGAACGACCCTCTGTTCTTTCTAAATGGTGTGGTCCCGGGATTGGTTTAGTTTGGAGGTTTAAGTTTGTTTTTAGTTGGAGACCTTTGAACATCTGAGCCTCAAAAACTTTATTCCTGGTACTTATTGGTTTGATTAATATTTTTATGGCCAATATTTTTGCTTTACCTCGTCTGGAAATAAAAAACAAAATAAATGTGAATCATGCCTCCTGCTTTACTGGAAGAGCATCAGAGTAAGAAAAACAAATACTATAAAAGTCAATGGTCACAGGTTTCTAACATGCTTCAAAGTATCTTCTTCTGTGTTCAATAGAACAAAACAAAACCTTACTAATGAGTAAATGATGCCAGAATCTTCATTTTTGGGTGAACTAAAGTGGACATAATTAGGAGTCAATGAACCACTTTTAGTGCTAATTAGCAGGATTTTATATTTAGTGTATCCTCCACTTCTTGTCACACAAACACTCATATTTTGTAATTAAAACATCATTTTTGTCATCAATTTACTGCACATGATGCAAATAATTGTGACACTTGTAGTTCAGTTAAAGTATAAAACATAAAACAGATGATACGAGGTAATTTTTCCTTCTAACTCACCTGATACGGTCAGTGTGTGTTGATCGCTGGTGTGTGTGTGTCGTGATCCTCCAGTTTCTTCTCCTCTACAGCTGTAAAGACCTGCGTGAGATTCATCAACAGAGCTGATTCTGTATTCCCGAGATTCACTGTCCTGAATCACTGAATCATCTTTATTCCAGCTGTAGCTCCAGCGAGTGACGTCTGAATCTGGTATGTGACATGTGAAAGTGACCGTCTGTCCCCTGAAAACACCTCCATCAGGCTGAACACGCAATGAAGCTTTGAGTCTCTCTGTGAAACATGACCTCAAGATTAATTCAGCTGACAGAATATGATAATGTTAATCACAGTCATTGTGAACAGTAATATTACATTTACTCATAATCAGATTGTCTTGCAAATACCTGTTACTGTTAACCTGACTGCTGGACTTTGTGTTGTGGCATTATTTGCTGCTATTACACCACACTTGTACCATCCTCCATCAGAGATCTTCACATCTGTCAGTGTTTTAGTTTCATCAACAGTTCCTATTCTGCTGGAGTCTTTGTACCAGATAATCCTCCGTACAGTTGATCGTCCAGCATCGCAGCTGAGAGTAACTGTGTCTCCAGTGAACACTGAACTCTGGGGCTTTATGCTTATTTTTAATTCGTCTGTAAATATTTAATGAGAGGATCTTGGGTTATTGTCTAGTGTTTAATGATTGTCTTTTGCTGCACGACTTCTATCATTTACATTACTGATGTTTCTTTCACACTTGCGCTTTAGTCATATGCTTAACTATATTTTACTTTGTTTTTCTTATATTTGAGGTTTGTGTGACATAAAATCCATGATTCAGATATTATTCATCAAATACTCAAAACAATCATTCACAGTATGGCATGTAGTAAAATGCTGTAACACCCAAAACTGTTGCTGTCTATGGAGGATGAGGGAGCTCTCAGATTTAATCTAAAATGTTCTCTTAGCACCCTTAAAGGGTCACGAAACACCAAAACACATTTTTTGAGCTGTTGACAGTCGTATTTGTGTCCCACACTGCTAAAAACACTATTAGGACACCTATATTTCACTAAAAAGTGTAAATTGGTTGTTTTTGCGTTATTTCAAGCAAATTCGTACTTCCTGTTTGAAACGAATTTTTGAAGCTGTGTCACGGTCATGACATAATAGCGTTGTATTCCAGCGTGCAGACTGGGCGTCTGTGCCAGAGTGAGTCTTATTACGTCTTACAGTGTGATGCATTAATGCATGAGTAAAGCTTGGTTCAAACCAATCAGCGCGCTCTATTGTGCAACTTCATTAATATTCATTAGTGTCACCGTGTTTACACCACAAAGACGCCACGTTGTGTTGGCAAAACAAGCGTGAAGTGTTGCTTTTATAGTTTGCTGCCATTAAGTTTTGTTTTCATTTTCTCTCTGTGAGAGCGCAGCTGGAGTCACGTGTGGATTAACAGTGTACGCAACGCGCCACAACAATAACTTACGTGTCTAAGGAGGATTATTGTTTACCTGAGAGCTGTTCTCATCTGCAAACGCTGAAATCCGGATTCGCTTGTAACGTTAGTCTCCTCTTCATAAAGACGCGGCTCTAGTTGCTGGTGATTGTCCTGTCTCTACAGATTTGTTAAGTGAGCGACCAGTGCTCTTTGTTTATTCAGTTTGTTCGTATCGAATTAAGTTAACTATTGCACTGAGTGCAAACATAGCACCGCATTTTGTGACCGGAATAACACACGCGGCTTTCTGACGCTACCTGCCGTGTGTATCTAAGTTTCCGGGAAATGCAGAGTTTTTTTTTCTCTCATTCGCCGTGCGGTATCAAACATTGCATGAAAAATACACGCTTAGAGCAGCTCCTCGAATCAAATATCGCGTTTGTCGCGAGGGGCATGAATGAATTCCCTGAATGAAAGAGCCAAACTGCTGTTAAAGTCCATTATTTAATAATTTGGCAAATAATTCGACTACAGATGTCCATGTAGGTTAAACACCATTACTTTCTCATGTGTGTGTATTTTGACTAAAACTCGCGCGTGCCCAAATAGACACTCCCACACCCTCCCACTTTAGTTCCTCCAACACTCCCCCCTAAACAGAGCTGGACACGCCCACTTTTCTGACTTTTTTCAAAGTAGAGGTGTGAAAACACCCTGCTGAAACGAGAGGGTTTCATGGCCCTTTAAATGTTGTATCTTAAATCTTAATTCATGTTCTGCAGATGAACGAATGTCTTAAGGATTTGGAACAATGTGATGGCGAGTAATTAATAACATTTATCATTTTGGGGTGAACTAACTCTTTTAACAGTCACCCTTGTATAATTACCCATTTTGGCCTGCTTTTACATCAAGTTTCTGAACAGTTGGACTGTTTTTAAAACTTCTGCACATGACTTCAAATTCACCTTTAATAGAAATGCTTTGACTGTCCTTGTTACACATATTAAAAATTGTACAGTAGAAAACAGGACAATAATGAAGAGTTAAGTATAATGAAACCCACATTAAACACAAAAGCAAGTTTCAATAAAACATTAAGAAAGATCCTGATGTTGAGTGTTGATCACTCACCCATAATATCAAACACAGTCAGAGTCACTTCATTACTCCATTCAGAAGAGCCTGATTGTCTCCAGCCTAAACACTTGCATGTCTGTGTGGACTCTACAGTGATCTTAAACTCTTTTATCTCAGACTTGTGCTCATTATCTCCACAATTAAATGAGTATGTCCAGTCTTCTCCCTGTATGTTACATCTGAGAATGACAGTGTCTCCTCTGAGTATCTGTGGTAGTTCAGGCCGAACAGTCAGAACAGCTTTAGGAGTTTCTATAGAAACTGAACAAACAGAAGAGATGATAAAACACACAAATAAGCTCAAATGAGTTAATGAACTCAACATGCTCCAAAATTAGTATAAATGTTACTGCAAAAAACATATTTTGAAGAAATAATTGTCACCGTACATCTGATTCTAATACATATATACTAAATCAAACTCACATGGTAGATTCAGTGTGACAGCATCACTGATCTCTGACTTCAGTCCGTCACTGTTTCTTTCTCCTCTACAGGTGACTTTACTCCTCCTGTGAGAAACACCAGTGCTAAAGCTGAATTCTCTGTCAGTGGCGAAGGGTTTAGTTGATCCATCTTTAAACCAACTGTATGTCCAGTCATCTTCAGCTCCTGGTATTTCACATCTGACAGTGGTGGGCTCATGTTTGTCAGGGTATAAAATCACTACGGCCTTTAGTTGCTCTGTAACGCCACAGATGTAATTCAAGCTTGAATCAAACACACTGTCAGAAATATTGATACTCAAGCTGCCACTGGGGTGGTACCTTTTCAAATGGTACACATATGTACTTAAGGGTACATATTATCAGTACCTCAAAAGTATATAGTAGTACCTACTAAAATTTTAAGAGGAACACTTTTAGAACTAGTATGTACCCTTGAGGTATTATTATGGGGCTTTTAGGTACAAATGTGTACCTTTTGAAAAGGTACCACCTTGGTGAGAGCTCGTGTACCTTTATTTCTAAGAGTGCAGATGGGAATACAAAGTTGGGCCAAAAAAACACTAAATCACACATTTCATTTGAGACACTGATATACACTTTTTTCAGTTTTACTGTGTTTTACTATGTGCAAAAATACATAAATAAATATGTAGATCACCTTCAGTTTGTGCAGGATGGATGATTGAAATCAGCACTAAAAGACAAAAAGTACATATCATGTTCATGTTGCTTTTATGTACACATAATACAGTATGATATAGATATGTTATTATAATGATACTGTTTGTTCAAACTGTGCATAATCCCCGATTATCTTTATTTTAACAGTTTACATGTAAAGAGGAGTTTCAAACTTTTCCAACAACCCATTTTAAATTTTGTTGTTGTCAGAAATTCATGGAGAAATTTTATTGAAGCACAGATGTAATGTTAATTGTCTGTCAATATCCAATAGATTTTGAACAAAATGTAGGATTTAGTTTGTTAAAGGCCATAAAAATAATAGTTTCTAAAGTAAAAAAAAGAGGCTTTGACTGAAAAAATGCCATCAAATTATACTATTACTATTATAATATCATACATAAACACACAGTAGAAAAACATTTACAACTTAACAGCTGCCCATCTGAAACAATGGATATTATAAATGTAGGGAATATGTAATATCTCTTCCTTTCCTCCGGGGGGAGCTGTGTGTTGTGTTAGGGAGATGGGCTGCAGTTTGGCCTCAGTTGTGTTTCGCTGTGGGAAAGGTAAGGAGAATTGATTCAGCTCTACACATAATCTGTTTAATTTCGACAATAATATTTGCCATCCATGTTATTTTATGAGATATGTTATAGTTTAGGCATTAATTAATGTGTAGAGGTCCTTATTTTTGATAGATTGACTTATATTTCTGATATTTCTGATATTTTAGTTGTTACCATGCGGCATAGCATATTTTATGTTGTTTTAGGTTTGATAATACATGTTATTTGGTTGGTTCTTTATATCCTGAATATATTTAACATTTATAATTGCCTGTCATATGTTCTAGTTTATCTTTTCAGTGTTTAAGTTAGTTTGTGAACAGCTAGCTTACTAGTTATGTAGCTGCAGCATTTACATCATTTATTTTTGATCATTTGTACACTTTGTAATTATTTTGTGATGTACTGAGTTGTGTTTCGCTGTGGGAAAGATGTTGCAGTGCCATTTCTGCTGTACAAGTGACAAAATGAAGAGAGGAGTCCATTAAAGGGAAAGCTGCTCTGTTTGGCTCAACCACGGTCTTGGTGTCCTTCCTGTTCATCCTATCACACATACACAACGCAGAGACATTTTGGGGAAGTACACCAACGAAGAGGGTTACATAAACATAACATGCACTGAAATAAATAACAGAAAAAGCTAAATATTAATTTAAAATTAATATTATTAAAAAATTGATAAATAGTAATAATAACAATAATAATAAAAAAATAATAATAACAATAACAACAATAATAATAATAATAATAATAATAATTACTATTATTATTATTATGTAATAAATAATAAAGGCTTTGTCCCTTTATTAATTCGGGCTCGCCCCTGCAGAATGAATTGCCAGCTTATTCATCATATGTTTTACGCAGCGGATGCCCTTCCAGCTGTAACCCATCACTGGGAAACACCCAAACACACTTATTCACACACATACACTACAGACCATTTTTAGCAATTCACCTATACCACATGGTTTTGGACTTGTGGGGGAAACCGAAGCACCTGCGAACATGTGGAGAACATATAAACTCCACACCAATATGCCAACTGACCCAGCAACTTTCTTGCTGTGAGGCGACCGCACTACCTACTGCGCCACCGCGTTGCTCAAATATCAAAAATAAGTCAGTAAAATAACAGAATACAAAAATATCACTACTTGGTTTTTAATAAATAAAAACATTAAATAAAAACAGAATAAGCCCAACCAAAAAAATTAATTCAATTTACTAAAAATGTATAAATAAAATAAATAAACAAGCAAATAGATTAAAGGAATAAGCAAATAAATACATAAAATGAATCAGCAAATAACTAAATAAATAAACAAATACATTGGCAAATATTAAATATTTAAACAAAAAAATCAGCAAATAACCAAATAAGCAAATTAATAAATTAGCAAATAAATAAGCAAATAAATAAAAAGCTAATAAATAAGCAAATAAAGAAAACAATTAATAAATAAGCAAATAAAAGAAAATAAATAAATAAAATGAATCAGCAAACAACTAAAGCAAATACATGAGTAAATAGGCAAATAAATACAAGCAAATAATTAAGTAACGCAAACAAATAATAAGCTAATAAATAAACTTAATAAATAAATATTATTTATATATTATTATTTATACATTTTACTTTTCATTGATGTGGGAACATCTCTCAGATCATAACCTTATCTGCTTTCCCTTTCCACCATGTTTAAAGTTGACGTGCTCAGCTCAGTTTATGATGTGCTCCATTATCCCAAAGTTTAACATGTCTCACTGACCAATAGGAGCACAGCAGCTTTAGATCTTTCAGACCAAATGAACAGAAACAGAGACGATGCTGATGATCCTGTCTCCACACAGGTGAGTGAGCTTGACAAACCACCTGCAGAAAACACTACTCCATATTTTAAAACAAACAGACAAATAATAATAATAATAATAAATAAATAAATAAAAACAAATAATAATAATCTAAATTCACTTAGGTTTGTCATGGCATTTATATACTGCTGCTCTCTGATGACTTGAAGGGCTTTTTATCCTCACTTGTAAGTCATTTAGATACAGTAAGTGTTTGCTAAATGAATAAATGTAAATAATAACTGAGGAGACAGTGAAAGAGGAAGCATGACTAAAACCTGTGTGCAATTCTAAAAATAATTATTAGTTGTTGGTGTCATGATGCTTCTATAGAGCTGAAAGCAAACTCAAGGTATGTTGAATGCTGTCAGTGCTTCAGTGGAAAGGGTGTCATCATCATTGTGGTCAATAACGTCACTGGTCAGAGTTTGAGTAATCAACAGAAACTCAAACCATTTCACAATATAATCCATACATGGTTATTCTACTGCTGAACTAGTCCCGACAAACACATTGATAGTCTGAGCTCAATATCATCAAGTAAACACAATTAATACATTCACAAAGAGTCAAAAAGAAAACAGACAGAAATATGAGGAAAAACTATACAGAGGATAACAGCACGTCCAATTCAATGCATAAAGCATCAAAAAACAAATGAACGACACAAATGAATCCATTCACATACAGCACATCCAAGAAACCATTCACGAGATGCAGATGAATTTATAGTCTGCCAAAGTTATCAAAGCATGAAAAATAAAAACTAAGAAATAGCATACAGACGAACACTGATTTATTTATTTATGATTTATCATTACATGCTATGAAGAAAGATGATGTATTTTAATTGAGAATGAGAAGCAGATACTCACAGAGCATTAGAGGAAGTGCATTGAGCTCCATCCTGATCTATTAATGATACTCTGCCAAACACACAGTCTGTGTTAAAGACTCGACACTTCCTGTATAATCACACACAACATATAAGAGAAGGTAGAAATAATTGACACAAACGGATATTTCATTGTACAACTCTGTACAGTATATTAACTATTGTTAATGGATTTAAAAGCAAATAATATTATGTCAGAATATTAAAAATGTGTATAATAGACTTCACACAATGTGAATTAATTTTACTGAAACATGACAAATGAACCTAATAGGGACATAGCTTTTTAGCATAGTAAAGGG